AGGCGACATCACGACAGGTTAGGATTTTGGGCTGTGACAAGGACATAACCGGAATTCTAGATATTAGCCTTATAATCCTATTAGTTTTAGGACATAATACTACACGTTAGGAATCCTACATGATTTTCTTTAGGAATCCTATTAGTATAATTACTTTGGGGCTGTCTAATTCATATAAAATTGAACAAGTAAATATCTTTAGTCATGTAATCCTATTACTTCCTATTACTAATTTAATTTGAAAATATATTATAATGTCATATTACTAATTTAATTTCAAAATATACTATATTGTACAAATTCATTTAGAAAAATGAGAGCCTATATTATTATAAAAGCATAAAACGGAAGAACTCATAGGAAAAGGATATAACTGCAATAACCTATTTTTTGGACTACAATACCTTCTATGCTAATTTTTAATATTTAACATTTTAAAATTAATAAAATTTTGTCTATTAAATTCTTATTAAAAATATGTAGGAAGGTTTAATAAAATCAATTTCATAAGAATCCTCCGTATTCGTATTACATTATCACTCCATAATGTCCAATACAAAGAAAAAGTAAAACAAATATTAAATGGACTGCATAAAGAGTTGAAATTGAGAAAACAAAATACCCCAAGGATAATTGATTTTTATACTATATTTGAACTATTTTTCTACTCAAATAATTATTTTTATATTAATTTTTCGTGTAATATTGAAAAATACCCAATTATTAAACAACAACTAAAAATATATTTAAGAATATAAATGTGTGAGAAAGAGAAAAAAATGGCTGGTAAGAGTCAATACCACTAATGATTCTACAACATAAAGATCTAAAGTGAAATGTCATATCAATCTTTTACTCTTTGAAAAAAATAATTATGGTGGATAAAATTATAATTAAGATTAAATACTCGAAACAAGAGATGAACTAATATTAAGATCTGAATCAACATAGAATAAATTATTTTTTATGTTAAAACCAAATAATTAAATCTTTTAATTAATTATTTAGCAAGAGAATCCAATTCAATTATTTTTTAAATTCATCATAAGAGTAAAATTCTTATTCAAGTTAAAACAAATTTAGGGCACATAAATTTACTCCATAAAAAGAGTGTTAGAACACAAAGTAAAAATGTTAGTATATTATTAAGAATCAAAATATCATACAAGTGTCAGAGTAAGCACAATCAAAGCTAAATGCTAAACAAGAACAAGCTTTCAAGACTATATTATAAAGAGTCGACTCTGGTATAACGAGATTATTCTTTGTAGATGCTTCAGGTGGAATCGAAATAATATTTCTATGTCATGCATTACTTGCAAATATCATATCAAGAGGCATGACACCGTTAGCAATAATAGCAAGTGGTGTACCAACAACGATTTTATTGTGAGACCGCCCACTTTAGATTTGATATACCTCTCAAACAACTTAAATAACCATCACAAATATATCAAAGCAAAGCAATGGTGCTAAATTTATAAAGAAAATAAAATTGATAATATGGGATGAAGCGCTTATAGTTAAGTGTCAAACGATCGAAATAATTGCCCGAAGTTTTAGAGATATATTAGATATTAATGAATCGTTTGGTGAAAAATTAATGGTTTGGGAGGTGACTGTCAAGTACTACCAGTAGTTTCAAAATCGACAAAAGTAGAGACTGTAAAATCTAGCTTGCCAAAGTTATACTTCTGGCCTCAAACGAAAAAAATTCAACTGATAAGAAATATAAAGTAAGAACAGATCCAGTATTTAGTGTCTTCTTGCTTCGTGTGGGAAACGAAGAAGAGCATCCGATAAAAGATGATTTGGTTCTTCCTAAACACTTGATTATCAATCCCAATGGTAATAGTAATACATTTAATAAGAGAAATATTTCTATCATTAAATTAAAACGCAATATGTGCAAATCGCATGATAGAATTAAAAAGATATCTTAGCTAGTATAAATGAATATGTTGATCAACTAAATAAAATGTTGATTGCAATTTTATAGTAAAAATAAAATGTTTTTCAGTTTTTGACTCAGCAGAAAATAATACCAATAATTACTACCAAGAAGAATAATTAAATACTTTAATACTAAATGGCCTTCTACTATACATGTTTGTTGTCAAGTTTCTTATTTCCTACGTATGTTAGTGTTACCGTATATATAATAGACTAAGTTAAAATTGATCTTCCAATGTATATAGGTTAATTTTGAAGAAAAAAATGCCCGTCATGCTACTAAAAAACTTAGATACGCCGAATAGCTTATCTAATTGCACAAAGATGATATATAGAAGTTTTGACAATAACGTCATACATGCAAAAATTATCATACTGGTTAAAATGCTTCTAAGTATATTCTTATCCCTGAATTCAACTTTCGTCTTCCGAAACTAAGGAATATCAATTTGAGTAAAAATAATTTTTGGTATGTTTATGTTTTGCAAATATAACAAATAAAGCATAAGGACAAATATCCTAAATATTGGACTATATTTACCGCAATATATTTTCTTGCACGAATAACTGTATGTTGCACTTTCAAGAGGGATATCAAGATCGACAACAAGAGTTCTGGTTAAGACAGAGTAACCAACGTATTAGGAGGAAACATACACAAAAAAATATTGTCCATAAAGAAGTGTTCGTTTAGATACCATCACATTAATTACTTTTAAACTATAATATATAATTATCTAATTAACATGACAAAATTGATCATTTGTGTAAGTTTTGGTGATGTCCTTTTATTTTAACTTCATGTATTATGTTAATGTAATAATATATTTCGGCATTTAGATGATTGTTGTATTATTATGCATAAAAAATTTCTCATTAATTAAATTTTATTTTTTCTTCATATAAATAAATATTTAAATCATCACGTGCTATTATTAACGTGCAACGCACGTTCATAAATACTAGTTAGACTAAAAGTGCATACGATTAACATATATCATAAAAATTTAGAAACTTTGTATAATAAATAAATAAATAAATAAATAAATATATATATATATATATANTTTTATTAAAACCAAAATTAAATCAAATTTAATCGATCTTTAAAATAAAAAATCATAACCAAATCAAACCAAAAAAATATAGATTTTTTTGGTCGATTTAGTTCGATTTTTGGTTTGGCTCTATGTACGCACACGATGTCTTTGGTTAGGCATATCTTATTGTATTTACTTACGTTATCATTTGATGATTCTTGATATGTAGGAACTAACATATACTTCGCCCAAATAGATGCATGCATTAGATGTGAAATACAAAATAGGAAATTTTACCTGCTATTGCAAATGTATACACCCTATTTATTATATATCAAAATTATTTTAAAATATTATTTTCTACATGAATATTACCTCCTCTTCGATCTTACTCGAGTCATTTTCGTTAAGTTACTATTCTAAACCTATTAATTCTACTTATTATTACGCGTAGTATCCAGTCTAGGTATGTATGTCACGTATCACAACGATCACTATTTGAATTTAGACTTTACGTTGATGGAATGTAACCTGGAAAGGACTGTGGTTTAACTGAAATTCTGAATAAAATATAAGGTCTGATTATTAATTTAATTTTCTATATGGATAAATAGTACTCCCTCTGTTTCAATTTATGTAAACTCATTTGACTAGATACAGAATTTAAGAAAAGAAAGAAGACTTTTGAACTTGTGGTGTAAAATGAGGCACATATATTTTGTGTGACTATAAATTATTACATAAAGGTAAATTATTTCCAAATAAGGAAATTGATCATTCTTTTTTTCAGGGACTAAAAAGGAAATAAGTTCATTGTTTACCCTCAAAATCGGATAACAATTGAATTTGTTAGTGTTTATAAGAACATGTGGATTAACTTGATACAAAGAGATAAATTAGATTGCAATTAAAATAAATAGCGATATAAAATAACTACAAACCACAGGAATTAGATGATTTCAGCTTAAGAATACAAGCCACCCTTGAGTTGAATACACTTTTATTGACAGAAAAATATCAAAGAGTAAGAGCTTGAAAAATGTATTGCTTATGAGTGTATGTTACAATATATCCAATGAATTGTCAAGTCCCTTTTATATATTAGGGGAGATCTACCTTTTAAGATATTATTTTATTGTTCTATAAAAGACAAAAGTCCTTGATTTGCTGACCGTTGGTTCTCTTTTCCGTGATTTCTGCCATAATGACTGGTTAATGGCGAGAATTACGGATCCCTGTTGGATGAGTTGGCGAAGCTTTCTTCGAGACCGTTGGAAACAGGACTGGTTATGCCTTCGGTAAACTCGAGGGCAAATTTGATGGTTTCGATGGCTAACTTTGACAATGCTTTGGGTTCGATCATAATCACCATGTGTCGATCTTGGCCGATGGTGTTTGGCGTCAGATCGATCTTTGAACTCGACTTCACCCGATCACAGATATTTCAACCCTGGTCTAATCAGGAAGTTCGGAAGCTCGATCGAATATTGAGCTCGATTTTACCTGTATACATTCACATAAATTGAAACAGAGAGAGTATTAGTTTGTGTTAGACATAGTTTGTATATGTGGGGGTTCCCACATCGGTGGCTGAAAGCCACTTTATATGGCTTGGACTCGGGCCGGGTAGGACCTTTAAATAAAGGTTTTATTTTCGTATTTATCTTTTTTGGAGTAGTTTCTGATTATTTAAAATTTAAATTTTAAATAGAACGGACATAACTGTTCGTATAGTAGTGTGACTTTTCTGAAAAGTCTTCTCTTGAATTCTATAAATAGAAGGACACCCCAGAAGCAGTGATATTTTAATTTGTAAGTATAATTCTGACTTTGTTGTATGAATTGATTGTAATCCCCTAAAGAATATACGTGCAATATATCTTGAAAGATAGTGATCTTTCACGCTTCAAAGCTATACTTTTCTTTTAATCTTCTGCAATTTTTGTAACAATTTGTTATTAGCAATAGAAGTTTAAACACAGAAGAAGATAGGAATCAGATAGTAACTAGATCCAGAAAGTTTCTTGGTCATAGTACAATAAGACTTTCAGCTGTACAAAATTGACTCACTTGATCATAGTATAATAAGACTTTCCTCTCTTCTCATTGACAAGAAAATAATGATGAAATAAAAATTAAAACATTAAAATGAGAGCCTTCTTTCAAAGATCAATGATTAGATATCTACATATATAACACATAAAAAAAATCGTCTGTGCTGATATCCATTTTACTGGATTATTTAACAGAGTTCATTTTAGAGGAATCTTTGAAATTTCCACTAAAATCTTGTGTAGCGCTTGAGGTTTTGACAGAAATGGCGAATGGTCGGAGCCTTTCATTTGGAAAACATGTTCTGGTGGATCTGAATCTATCATGGCCTCCTGAAGAGACACAGCAATCGCAAAATCTTCAAGTGTTTTTACATAGAATCTTGGGATAGAACCATAATTTGTTGCAGAAAGGGAAAGCTTCTCTGTCAAAGGTGCAAAAGGGATTGGCCTCATCAATACTGATGCTAATTCAACATCCTGAAATCAGGAGAAAGTGTCAAAATGGCTTTCTCTATGTGAAAGTAAACAACTTGGAACATTCTACAATACATACCTTAGCAGGGGTTTGATTGAACAAAACATCTTTCAATAATGATTTGTCGAAATCAATTGCAGTTGGAGGACGATTCTTGCCATTTGCATAAAGAAACATTTGAGCTCGTTGACAAAGATTATCCGAGCCAAGCTGCAGAAACATAGGCAATACAATTGGTTATCATGTCCACTGGATTACTACTATTGTAATTACTAGGTCGCGAAACTTAAACCTTAAGAACCAACCTGCATTGAGAACATATCAAGTATGCTTTGCTCATTCATCAACATTGCTGCAGCAATAAAAACCGCCTTAGAAATTTTTGATCGATGCAACTCCATTGCGTAAGAAACACAAACTCCTCCAATATCGTGGCCAACCAAGATAACCTGAATCAAGAAACAACCAATTTGCATGCCTTCAGCTTTTAAGTTTGAGAAAGCACCAGCAAATTCTTTAATTGAATGGAGACAAGGTGCAAGAGTTCGAACCTTTTTGCTTTCTGGGAGCTTCTCAAGGTAATTGGTAAGTGGTTTAACATATTCAGACAAAGAGGTAATGTTGTTGGAGTCAAAAGAATGAGCACCAGAACCAGTTAAGTCTATGGCATCAACCTGATATCCATTTTCTTTGAGTAGAGTTGAAGTTTTATACCAACACCAAGCACCAAAACCGCCTCCATGGACAAGAACAAAATGCTTAGTCTCTAATTCTTCAACTTCTGTACCCTGAGAAGGTAAAAGAAAATGTTATCCAACATGTAATACAAAGAGAGTACTGCTGCAGAATCTTTTAGAGAATTGATTCCTACCTTTGAATTAGTAACTAAATTGTTTGTTAAAGAAGAGGTAACACTTAAATTAATTACAACAAAAGTTATCAGCCCAACTATTGAAGAATAAATGTGAATAACACAAGATTACTCACAAAATTAACATTTGATTATTCTGCTATGTACTAGCAAGAATTGAGCCCAATACCAACATCTTATGAGTACTGAGACTTCAGCCTTGCCCCTTCTCATTGTTTAAATTTCTGCCCAATTACTTTAAGACTTTATCTTTTAGTCTCTTGTACACTCTTTTGCACTTAAACCTCAGTTCTCAAAATTAAGAAGCTGCTATTTGCCTACTCTGAAGGAAAAAACAGGCATGTTTGTCAAACTAAATAATGCTCCTTGGCGAGTTTTCAGTACACATGGAATTCCATTGTACTATAAGACTTGACAAGTACTTAAGATTATAATAAGCTAATGCTAATTGTTACTTCATGAGAAGAATTATTAAACATGGATCTAATAATATGTTAATCCTCTCGTTTTATGAAATGACAAATAGTTTTAGAGGGCAAGAAAGTAGCAAGACCTGATTAGGAAGTTCCAGTTGCTGAGGCAGAGAATCAGACAGTAAACTTGGACGAGAACTTGAACTTCTGGGAATCCTCTTTTGCCTCTTAGATGATGCTAAAGGGTCCCTTAAAGAAACTGAGCGTTCAAACTGAGTAAGTGTTCCCTTTTGTTGGTGGTGTTGGAGAAGCAAGGCTGCAGCAACTCGAGCTTGATCTTTTATATAGTCATCATCAATACTATTCTCCTTTGGAAATACTTTATCTGATCTTTGACTAGCAGAGCTAGGAAAATGTGGAGGAGGAAGACTATGTGATGATTTAGCTCTAGTTTTGTTTCTTTTGATAGCTTGATTTTGAGAGAAACATGCCAATGAGTTCCCCATTTTCTTTGATTGTGTTTGAGAGACAAGTTTTCAACATGAAAGGTTTTATATGTTTGAGAGGAAATAGAAGGTGTTAGGGAAATGAAAGTTCCAAGAAATTGTTTGATCAATTGGGACAATGATTTGGAAGCGACTGTGAAAGAGTTGAAAGCTGAAGTCAATCTAGAAGCAACACATGGAGTAGTACAATGTTGACCTTCCAAAAAAATAGTTTCAAGAAAAAGTCCAACTAATACATGGCTACAAGAAATCATTTTTCCTCCCTTCTTCTTCGTCTTTGCTTAATCCGTTTGGCAATTAATCGGTATTTCAGTCTTTGCAAATGCCAAGCAAATGTATACTAGTTTGACTATGAAGTTTTAAACTTTAAGGTGAAATACTGGTTTGAAGGTGTATTTTAAGTAAAATAATACTTTTATCAAAAGAAAAAGGTGGTTACTATTTGACATTTATGTTATAAAACTTGGTATACCATGATGGGCCCATAACTTGCTTCATTCATGAAGATAAGTTATAACTCCATACATAACTTAATACATTTATGCAATTAAGTTGTAACTCCAATATATAACTCCATATATATAGTAAAAGAAGAAAGTTATGAAACTCTTGAATGAAATGAATTTACAAATTACATTGTTCACTTAAAAAAAGGAGTGACTTGAGACCTTTCTCTACACCAAGAAAAAGTTGACTGAAACCTTTTAGGCTAAAGAGTGTAGTTGCTAACTACAAGACTCCACAACTAATCTTGTAGGAAACAGCTAGGCAATTGGGGGCAAGTCAGTGCCCACTTCTTCTTCTCTTAACTTAATAGAGGAAAGAAATGAATGCACAGTGGACCTAATCTTGTGAGGCAAAACATGATGTCTAAACTCAGTCACCTACTAATATGTACACTAGAAAGATCAAGAAATTGGACGATGTTCATTGATCAGCTATATATCATGAAGCTCCACGTTTTGGCTGGATTGCCGATATGAATCCTCTCATGATTAGAGGATACCTTATAACTACTGTCAGAAAACGTTTTGAACGACAATGTTCTTTCCATTTACAGCTACCCTAGCAGCCAAATGCTCAGAAACAGTGGCATCCATGCATAGCTTTGCCAGGATGGGCAGTACGTAGAGCAGCGTCTAGGTTAGGTTGGACACTTGCAGCAGCAGCAGCTTGGCGACATAGAACACATGACGTGCATCTGGCACAGAGATGAATTAATCCAGGATCTAGAGTCAGAGGACAAATCATTCAGAATGGGTGTGATTGTACATATTAAAATTTGTTTCTATATGCATATATTGTTCGAGCGGAAAACAATAATTCCAGTTGAACCACAGAACCCACCTTAGATCTGCGTCTTCTGGGCTACGTTGGACGCTAAAAGTAGCAGCTTTGATCATTTGCAGCAGCAGTCCTGTCTGCTTGGCCACTTATGGCAGCAACCAGACCAACTTAACCACTTACAAGAGCAACATATCCAGCTTGACCACTTACAAGATAAGCAACCTGAGCACTTACAACAACAGCTTGGCCACCTAGAGCAGCAAAACCCGCAGCTACAATAGGAGTAGAAGCACAATGGCCATATGGACTTCTTTCTTGTGTAACAAATAATATGGCAGAAAGGTTCTGTGGACTTCCCACTTCTGCAATAAACAATTTATATTCCTTAAACACTAAAACACATGATTGCTAGTTCCATATATGTGGGAAGAAATAAGATCTTCAACTTGCACGCCCATAAGAGAGGAAAAGAGGTTAATATATTATTTAGAACTCAAGTGCAACAGAATCCCAAAAACACCGTACTTATGAGACGTTAATGAGTGAACAAAGAAACCTACAAACACCCGACCAAACCGAACCCTTAAAACACACTTGAACTACTATGATTCTTAAGTTCAGAAAAGATCTAGTGGATGAGGGTGGAGAAACAATTACAAATATTACTGAAGGGTGCTTACTACCAAATCTTGATCTTTATTCTTGTTCTGTTAGCTATTAACCAACTACATAAGTTTTAGAAATAAAACTTTCAATTGGACAGCTCAAGTTGAACTGCATGGTTTTGATGTTGCGCATGTTTCACGCTATGCTTTGCAGAATTCTTTGATATGTTTAGATTTGTTGTTGAACTCTAAAATCACCAATAATCATTCATGTAGTGCATGTAAGTTGGAGACATGAGAATGAAAGACATTTTAACTTGAAAGACAAGTTAGATTGACTTGACCACTATATTGGTGATGCTCACAGGAAATTAAATGTACACCGCAACATACATAATTAATGAAGCAAGATGTTTTGTATGACTTAGGGAAATAGCCAGAGAAAAAAATGTAGATGTGCTAAACAATTAACTAAGAATTAAGCAAATGCTTCTTTTACTGAATAGAAAAAAAGATGGGAAAATGAAGCAGATGCTTCTTTTAGCGAATAGCGGAAAAAGATGGGAACTGGTACTCACACTGGAAAAGCTAAAGACGTACCACTCCCGTCAGAATGGTGAATTGTGCTGTAGGAGTCTCTAAACCCTTCATTTCCTTTGGAATGGCCAGTGGTAGTTGAATATTCTGCTCTCCGTCCTACTTTTATTTCCTCTTCAAAATGGAGTTCTTTCTTAATTGGTTCATGTTGACTTCCTGCTTCAATATGGTTGTTTCCAGTTACCACACCCCTTTCCGTATCTTCAGATCTGTCTAATTCTATACACTTGTTTTTTAGTTCCCCAGATTTATGCAGTTCCCCTGATTTCCAGATATCTCCACCCATCAATAGAATATGATCCCTCGAAAGACTGGCGTTGATACTAAACAATGACTCATCAGAGGCAGCACTCCATTCCTTAGGTGTTGAGGATATACTTCCAAAAATAGAAGATGGAACTCTGTTGGGATCATAACCTCCTTGCCTCTCCATCATTTGGATAGAAGGAGATTTTGTAATTGACAGTATGTTTGGCAATAAAGGTTCATCAGAGATGTCTGAAATCTGCGTGGCGGGGCTTGTTGATCTATTCAGTTCCAAATTATGGAACATACCATTCGAACCATTGTAGTCATCTTGGGATAAAGGTTTGGCATCCCTAGAATATTTAGAAGATGGTATATCTAATGTGATAGAGTTGGATGCTATATTTGGATTCACTAAGATGAAATCATCCGAGGAAGAACCAGATGAGGATGAAAATATGGAACGGGAAAGTTCTGAACTTTTACTTGATCCTGAAGTACTTTCATTTAAGATGGCATCTGAACTTGTTCTGCTTTCACTCTCATTTTTAGAATCCAGGAGAAATATTATTGGTGAACTGGCCTCAGTTTCATTTTCAGTAACCACTGTATCTGTTCGAGAATGGTTACAGGTTCCACTTCCATGTTTAGGGTCCATGCCTAGAATAAAGCTAAAAATCACCTGTAGAAAACCATCAACTTGTTTAGATGCACAAATAGAGTCCAGTCAATCTTAATATAATAACAGGATTAGAGATGAGATTAATTTATTGTTTGAGGGAAGCAATGTAACACTCGCAACGAGCACCATATCATGCAAACAAGAAGTACCTCAGTCAAAATCCTGATTATCAATGGCTGCCTTTTCCTAGGTTCAATCGAAAATAGAATGCCCATGGAAAAAGAGGCGGATCCAGGAGGGCGTATCTAGGGAGGGCTTCTAGGGCACGTGAACCCATGTTCCCTCCTAGATCATGTATAGTATGGTTCTATATTTTGCAAAAATACTTAAAAATATATATGTGTGCACCAAAGCTCAAAGTATCATATGATGCCGTGGTTATTGGGTGCACCTATGTTATTCCAAGATTTAAACTTGATAACTTTTTAATGCTCAAACTTAAATTTATATCATGTATTCAATAATAGTGCATCCATCTTCCTAAAATCCTGGACCCGTCTCTGTTATTCCAAGATTTAAACTTGATAACTTCAATCTTTAAGGCTCTTTAACAAAACTTATTGTACTTCCGGAATTACGGGTTCAGAATTTAATATCGGTCGAAGTTTTAGTCATTAGTCATTTTTCGTGAATGTAGTAGATCCAATTGTACTCATTGTACAAAGGCAGCATCCACCTCTGGCATGGAAAGTGAACTTCATTACAAAGACCCATGACATAAAGTTTGCAGGTTTACTTAGCCTACTTTCAAGAAGTTTTAAAGTTCAAATGTAATCATATTGTTAAAATCGACAATCTATGAAACGTAACTACCATCTTATGTTCTTGACCTAAACTTCCTGATGCTTCCATTTGCTCATTGACATAAAAGAAAGTTGAAAGAAGGAACTGACAGAATGCAGTAAAATATAATGAACAAAAGTCATTTATGAAATGGAAGTCATCTCCATACAATGATCTGTAACTCAGAACCATTATCTAATGCAAATACCACTTTTTAATGCCAATATCATCCTACAAATGGAGCTGCATCAGATGAATATAGCCGAAGTGCAACCGGAAGTTCCACTATTTTGACAACAGAATCTATAACCACCCAATAAAAGTTTCTCTAAAAGGGAAGATAGAGAATAAATCAGTAAATCACAGTAAGCAACAAGAGGCTTGAATGTAAATTAACCAAAAAGTGTAAGAATTTAGGGCAAACACTAATGACATAAACCAAAAAATGACCATTTTGATCTAGAACTTGTCAATAAAACATAACAGAATGCACTTGTAAAGTGAACTTCATTTAGAAAGACCCATGGGACAAAGTTTGCATGTTTACTCGGCATCCTAGACTGGACCGCTGTCTTAAAAAAAAACCGGTTCTATAGTTTTATGTGTTATCATTTTTCAATTCATGACGACTTTACTATATCCTGACTAAAACTTCCTGATGCTTCTAGAAAGTGAAACAAAGTAACAACAGAAACTTTTCATAAACTTATCTGCTTATTCGATCTATGTTTCTTTTCAATCCCAAATAAATTGGGAGATATATGAATCCTTAATATACATTTAGATCTACTCGTGTCCATGTCGTTCCAATACTGTGAAATTATTCTCGCTTATTGCAAAAAAGAAAAAAAGGAATCTATGATACCAGAGTTTCTCTTGATCTTACACTTATTCCCCACTGACGCACGAAGTCCAAATCAAACTTCATTTGACTTAATGTAAGTGAAACAACAACTAACACTTAAACAAATTAGTTGGTATCTCCTACATGGATTTAGCTAAGTCCATATTGATCCTATCATTTTTTCTCCTGTTTTACTGCAATAAAATCACTTTTCAAACAAAAAAGATAAGTCATTTATGAAATGAAAATCATCTCTGATAAAACGATCTGTAATAAAGAGTCATTACCTGATGCAAACAGCAATTTGATGCCAATGCCCTCCTATAAAGGAGCCGCCTTATATATTGCCGGGGCGGTACCGGCAATACTTATCCACCTTTCCCCCCAAGCAGAATCTCTAAAAGGGAAAATAGCGAAATTAGAAAATCACAGTTATCAACAAGATTAGCGTCAGTAAAGTAACTCCAAAAATCAAAGCTTTAGGCCAGAAACAAATAACCAAAAAAAAAACAAGAAATACATGTCGATCTGGGATTTGCCTCAAATTAAAACATCTATGGGACAAAAAGCAAGAAAATGAACATTTTGCTGTGGGATTTGTCTGAATTAAAACATTTTACCTAGTAAGTTAATCTTAGATTCTTATTTTCTTCAACTTCTATAATTCGTTCTTGGGGTTCATGATTTTCTTAATTAATCCGGGTGGCCGGGTGGGATATGATAAATTTCTGAAAGGATCAAAAGAGAAGGAGGGATTAGGGGTTTTTTTGGGGAGGAAATATGATAAGAAAAGTTGGGAAGGCAAAGAGTAGGCTTCGGAGTTCGAGTCACCACTCTCTTATTCTTGAATAACGAACTTCAGTTTTGTTTGGCGCCAGCCTATAACTAACACCTTCCTCACGTGCTCTACACATGCATTTGAACACACTCAGTTTATTATTCATAATCATTATGTTAAAATAAATAGTCCAACAATTTAAAATGTATATTAAATCATTAATTTTATGCAAATTCTTCAAAATTTTGAAGCTGTCACAATGTAAGCAACATTCTCCAATTGAACAAGTTCAAATCACAATTAAAACTAAGTTAATTCATTGTTAATATTTGAAAAATCAAATATTAAAGACCACAAAAAAGAAGTTAAGACCAAAAAATCCATTAAAGTGGGCCAGAGAGAGTATGTCTTAAGGAGAGAGCAAAGTCCATTATGGATGAGTAAACGTGAACATGGAGTATCTAGTGGCGTACGCGCGATATTTTATAAACAGTGTCACATTTTTTTATAAATAAAAAAAATTAACAAATAAATAAATTACTATAATAACATCATATTAAAACACATACAATTTTAAATAGGACTACAACTCTCAACAACGAGTTTTTACTTTTAAAATATATTCATAATACCCTCATTAAAAATAATGGACTGCTCCATGGTTATAAATGGTGAATCAACCCCACCCTTTGATGCTGCCAGAGGATTTCGACAAGGAGATCCAATGTCTCCCTTCCTATTTGCTATTGTTATGGAATATTTGAGCAGAAGTCTCAATACCCTAAAGGAAGAGAAGCAATTTAAGTATCACCCAAAATGCTCTAAACTAAATGTCACACATATGTGCTTTGCAGATGATCTCCTCATGTTTGCTAAAGGTGATAAAATCTCTGTAGGGATGTTACATGAAACGTTTGGTATATTTACAGATGCTTCAGGATTACATGCTAATCAATCCAAGAGTGCTATCTACTATGGGGGAGGGGGAGGGGGAGGAA